GATCTGTGCTTGTTGCACGCCGTCAACCCGATTCTATATTGTTTTGTTTCCTTGGAGAGAGAGCGGTGATTTAGCAAAGCTTGGTAGTCAAAGCTAACAGTTTGTCTACGCTAGTGCCCCCTCCCTGTAAATAGCGTGAACTACGTAGACATGCGTATAACAATGTCAGTGTCAATTTGCCTTCCCAGCGTGCCTTTTGAGCACCAAACCCCCCTGTGTTAGGCAAACTAATATGTGGTATCATAGAAATTAGTCTCAGAGACACTTCCCCACCCAAAATCACTCTCACATTTCATAGGATAAACTGGCTTAGTCTGAATGAATCCTCATTAGACAGCCGGCTCATGTCATTTTGTGAACAAAATGCTGACTCAGTAATAAAAGTAGCAAGCCAATGTGTCCGGGAAGCTTATTTGAAAGGGAGGTTTCAAAGAAGAAGTACGTGTATATTTATCGTCATCGTGCTGTGATTTTAGTTGATTTCGCCTGATTCTCAGTCGGGTGGATCCTCGTGGTCAGTGACCCCTCCCTCCTCCAACGCGAGAAAAACCCGACGGGACCCAATCACCTTTTCCTTTACAGACGGTGATCTCACCTCCCCATTTCCGATTGGATTGCTATATTTAGGAAAACGCCTTACGCTTTATAAAGAGATTGCTGTAGTTTGTGGCAAAAGGCTCCGGAGTTAGTGGAAAGAACTGACTTGAGGGACGAGTTTGACCAGTATCTGCTTAGAGTTTAAAAGCTACTGGACTTGACACGACTAAATATTTACAACTGCCGACTTTGGACTGAGCCGCGTTTGAGAGCGAGAACTGGGAGAGGCAGCAATGGCAGACATACGAAAGAAACTTGTCGTGGTGGGCGACGGTGCATGTGGGAAAACATGTCTACTGATAGTATTCAGCAAAGACGAGTTTCCAGAAGTGTATGTCCCGACTGTGTTTGAGACGTACGTGGCGGACATAGAAGTGGATAACAAGCAAGTCCAGCTGGCTTTGTGGGACACAGCCGGACAAGAGGACTACGACCGGCTGCGGCCGCTCTCCTATCCGGACACCGACGTCATTCTGATGTGCTTCTCGGTGGACAGCCCGGACTCGTTGGAAAACATCCCTGAAAAGTGGGTCCCTGAAGTGAAACACTTTTGCCCGAACGTACCCATCATATTAGTGGCCAACAAGAGGGATCTCCGCAACGACGAGAACGTGAAGAATGAGCTGTCTCGGTTGAAGCTGGAGCCAGTGAAAACAGAGGATGGCCGGGCCATGGCCACGCGCATTGGCGCATATGACTATTTGGAGTGCTCAGCTAAAACCAAGGAGGGGATCTGGGAAGTATTTGAAACGGCAACACGGGCAGCTTTACAGAAACGACAAACAACCAAAGGTGGCTGTTTCAAATGCTGTGTTTTAATGTGAACTGACTCTGGCTTGGGCGGGGGGCTACTGGGACGCGCAAGAACAGACGTTTCCTGCGTTGGGGTCTGTGTCTGGGCATGTGAGGGCAGTGACCATTGTTCGGACACTCCCTCGAAGTCGGATGCCTTTGCTTGAACCAAAACCGATGACTGCAAACGGAGCTGATTGGAACACACACGAATATCTGATGGCGGGTGTAATGTGGGGGGGAAATACACTGGTTATGGCATGTTGGCATGTTCTTTTTGGGGTCACATGATCCCAGTCTGACTGGAAAAAAAAAATCACGAAGCGTTTGATTTCAGTGGGCGACTTTTCAATCCCCTTCTGCATCTTCTCGTGTAGACGAGAAGGCCTGCTGGAGAGTCGAGATGACTCTGCTCTCTTTTTTTGTGTTTTAAAGTTTGCATAGGCCACAAGCCTTATTGCCAAGGTTATACTGTGTAACAAGTAAAGCAAAAAGAACAACTGCACTGTTATTTTTAATATGAGGTAATTGAAGTTTGATCTTGCACAAGACCAGGATGCTACAGCAACTCATAGAAAGAAAGCTTGTTAAAACTGCAAGTATTGCCAACTTGTTGTTGTTGGTTTTTTTTTTTTTTTTTTTTTTTTTTTTTTTGGGGGGGGGGGTGATATTTTAGGGCTTGGAGCACAGCTAACAATAACGTATAATTTTGATTCCACAGTATTAAATGTCTTTTTCCCCTTCAAATTATGCAGCAGGTTAGATTTGATTCAAGGTTGACAAGACTACACCTGGACCAGTCTTGAAAAGGGCTAACCACAATGTCCTGTAGTTTTGCAGGTTTTCAGGCAGAAACTCTGTCAGTATTAAGTGGGAGTCATGTTTTACAACTTTAGTTTTTTATGTTGCTACGCATGCTTTTACATAAGTTTTAACTCATTTTGGCTAATTTATACAAACACATTGTCCTCTGTACATATATTTCTGTACAGCACATCTGAACAGCATCTTTTGAAGCACATACAGTATATAGTCCCATTTCCATCCAGCTGTCTCCGTTCTTTCAAACACATGGGGGGGAAACAGCTTGAAGTTTTCTGTTTGGGCACAGCGTCATTTAGAGTGGCACGGAGGATATTTCCCAGACACAATTAAGCACATGAGACGGTGTGGCATGTGATGGCCTTGCTCGGTGAAGGGCGTTTTCTCAAAGTGTCATGAAACTGCTGTTTATGACCCAACAGCACACGCTCATGTGGGATTAAGCCATCTGATGGCAACACTTTATTGGAAGTGTTTCATGCAATTCTATTAGTAGAACACTTATGTAATAGTGACACACACTTAAACTAAAGGGCTTCCCTTTGATTATTAAAACATGAGAAAACGGTAAATGTGAAGTACTAATGATTATAGAGCTGTTAAACTGAATTAAATACAATTGAGAAAGAGAAAGTTTTTTTCTTTTTTCCCTTTTTCTTAAAATCTCAATGTCTTCCATTATGACAGTGAATGTACCTTAAATTTATGTTGTCAAAAAATGTTACTGAAAGCTAAAATCAGTGTATTTTGAGCTGACTTTTTTTTTTTTTTCTCATTCTTGTGAAAAGGATTCAGATTTTCTTTTTTTCTTTCAGTGTCAACATAAGTGTTGTGTAACTGTCCTCTTGCTTGATAGTGGGAGTGTTTGTTCATATGACTGTGAACATCAGTTACAGAGACTGTTGTTAAGGGTGAAACTCTTACTGTTCATGTTTTGCTCTTTTTACTTGTTATTGGAAACAAAAAAAGATGGATTTTTTTTGCTTTAAACACTTACTTTGTGTTTTACTAAGAAACTGCGCTGCAGGCACATCTGTGTTTAAAAATACTTTCCAGCCGAAGTTACAGTGGCATTTAAAAGTCACATTCCTCCTGTCTGCTGTCTGTTGCTGTCCTTTTTTTTTTTTTTTGCTGACATACAGCACAGGAATGCATTGTGCTGGACTAGTTAATTTCCCACACCGGCCCCCCTCATGTGCCTCTGATTTGCAATGATTTTAGGTTACTATTTGTGATAAGATGGTACAGTTTGCGTCTCCTCATACAAAAGGAAATTGTGGAATATGCCAAACCTATCTCTTTGTAAGAGTTTATTTGATGCCATTGGTGTAATTACACAATGCTTTCTGTGGAAGAATGGTACAATTAAAAGAGGGGGGAAAAAAACAGAATGTAAGGGAACAAGTGGTACTGTTCTGGGAAAGTCAATAAAAAAAAAAAATCAATGTGTTTCACTAACTGCACTTTTTTCCACTCTTGTTGCATTTTCCTGACACACAACTTTCTTTCCTTTTATCGTACAAAGAAACATTACGTATACTGATAAAATAGTTGGAACCTGCTGGTAAATTTAGAAAATTCACTCTATTAGTATTTCTTTCTTTATTTGCTTTAATCAGGATCCACTGAACCATCACTTTGATTCAGGCCTTTGAAACAGGAGTAAATCTAATGTACTTGTGTATTTGCAGTTAACTTTTGTATGTTTTGCTGAAAGAAATTTATGCTAGTTCAAAATACCTGCTCTTCAACAAGTGACAACATTAAATAACACTTATACGAAAATGAATAATTATACCCCACTATACAGATTTATGACCTAAATGCCCAAAATGAACAGTACTGGTAATTGTAAAAATCCTCTTTTGTTAATATTACAATATGTTAAAAATAAATATTTTAACTGCTAAAATATAATTATTGTTGTTATCCATGAATTTCCACTTTTACCATTTTACAGAAAAGCTGAAAAAATATTTAAAGCACATTATTATTATTTTTACTACAGTTATTTACAAACATTCCTGAATAGAAAAATCAATTTTAGTGTTTGAATGTTATGTTTGGTTCATATTTGAGATCTCAGAGAAGAAGTTCATATTTGGGTAAGAAAACATTGGATTCAGTTTTTCATTTGCCTAATAAATAATAAATAACAGCATCATTTGTTTTAGTTATAAATATTTTCTTGTTTTTATGACAGACAGTCTGATAAATTTGTCGTCGTTCCCATTATTATGAATATGTTTACTTTTAAGAGTCTCATAGTTTACTCGTTCTCATATTATTTGCAAACCCTTTAAAGATTTAAGGTTGTTTATACTTCTAATGACTTATTTATCACGTTACACGAGGCAATAAGCTGTATACTTATTTCACCACTTCTCATGATGACACATAGCCTGTAGCTGTCCCCAGACAAAATAATCCTATTATTCCAAAGGGGCAGTACATTTTGAGACTTGACTTCTAACTATTGTTATAACCCTGGTCAAAATGACTCTGTTTCTATATTGTGATTGTTTTATTATAAGAAATATGTGTGTGTGTGTGTGTGTGTGTGTGTGTGTGTGTCACAGAAACTATTTGTGTCCGATCTAAAATTAGACCAGAGGATAAAAATTACTAGCAAGGGTGTATTGCTGTGATCTTTAGGGAGTAAGCTTTTTATTGTTTTAAATCTGTACAGGAAAACATAAAACTACATGAAGAAATATTTATAGTCCATTAGCTTCCAATCTTTTTAACCAGTCAAGGTAAACTTTATGTAAAGAATGCACAGACATGAATGCAGTACAAACTGTATTTATTGATACCCAGACAGGGCTTTTGTTTTAAATAGTACAAGACACAAAGGGAGCACTGGGCGTCTGTTGTGAAATAATAAACAAAGGAACAAACATTATACAGGCATAATTTTTATTGCTCAGTTTGGTTTGCTGTTATGAAAATAGATTCACTATTACACCATTGGTTACAAAACACAGAAAGTCAATACAGACACTATATCCTATATCATTGTTAGCTATGGTTGCTTAGTTGAATTTGGCAACAAATGGCAAAGGGATGTCAACCTCTACTTTTTGGTCACTTACTCTAACATATTTTTCAACATTTTTGCTTTTTTCCTTCAGGGATGTAATGGCATTGTTGTGCAGAGTATTAATGCCTTTCACCATTGAATTAATCCAGGACTGGATGTCAGCTGTGAGTTGTTTACTAGATATGTCAGCCAAAATATTTTGGAGTTTAGCAGTCACAGCTTTTAGATATTCCATTACAACTCTGCAGACCTCTTCAACCGGCTTGATAAAGCCAGCCAGAACAGGAGAGTTCATGGCATCGTTGTATGCAGTACTCACAAAGTCAGAAAGTGTCTCCAGATTCTGGGATTTCAGAGTTTGGAGAAGCTTCTCACTCTGTTGGATGGTAAACTGCATGATTGCTGATAATTTCTTTACAATGTCCTCCAGCCGGATATCTCTAAATTTTCTCACAGTAACAACCACTTGATCCTGGATTTTCTTTAAAGCTACCAACATATCGTCAAGAATTTCCTTTCCACTGACGATGCGATTAGAACCTGGGAAGGTGAATTCAGTGGCTTGGAAATAATCAAGTGCCGTTGAAAACATGGAAGAAAGGTACTCTGGAATCTTATGGATTGCTTCTTCAGATACATCAGCAACAAAAGCAGTACATTTCTGATAGACCTCAAGCCCAGACAGCTTCTCTTTATAGCCAGGAATCTGGAACCTAGTCTCTCTCAGAAATTTAACAACAGCATCAAGGAACTTTTCAACTTTCTTCTGGTAGTTTTCGAGGATTAAAACAGTATTATCTGTGACAGTGGTCACAATCTTGCAAGATTTTACTGATTCAAGACTGTTAATAGCCCTCTTGAACATCACATTACCCTGCTTTTTAGCCTGTGCAAAGGAACCTTCTAGTCTTCTAACTTGTTTGTTGACCGCCTTGTATGTTATGACAGCAGATTCAGACACTATTTCCATGACCGCAGGCACCTGTTTCTTCGCTCCGAGCATCATCTCGTATGGTATTTCCATATTCCAGGTTGTTTGAAGGTTCAGCTTCTCAGAGTTGATCACAGACATCTTCAGACCCAAGATATCAATGTCTGTGGATGGCTCAGACTAAACAGGACACATAAAAACCAATAAGTTAATTATTTAAATAATACATCATTTAGGTTGAAAAAAAATCAGCTTTTATTAGAAAGTGCATCGATAGTAGACTATTATCTTACCGGGTAACGACCATAGAGTCTTGCTTTCACTTGTGCCGGTCGCTTAGCCTGCATCTGAACTGCAATGAGTCCTGCAGATGGATTGGAAACTGAGACAATAAGGCCTTCTTCTGGATTTCCAGTAATCTCCTCATAGATTTCCATGGTCAGGTCAAGAATGTTGACCTTTGCTGTGTTTGTGATGGCGATAGCTACATTTTCAGTAGTTAAGAAGATGGTGCTGTCATGATGTCCCTCTAGCATTGAATGTTTCACATTGAGGAGAGAGGCCATTTTAAATCCACCCATCACGTTCACATTGGTGTTGCCCTCAATCATTCCATTCAGGATCTCAAATTCAGATGTTGAAGAAGCATCTAGTTTGATGGCGATGCTGTCCTGCTTTAGGATGCTTGCGTTAGTCTTGAGAGTGATCATTGGTGTCTTCATGGAGATCTCATAGGTCATATCACCCATAACTGGGATCTTGATGCTCTGAATTTTGGGCAGGGTGATTTTTGGAAGAGTTACCTTGCGCAGGGCAGAGGGCACACGCAGAGTGGGCATTGTGATGAGGGTGAAGTCAGGCAGGGGAATTGTGAATGTTGATGTCTCAATGTTCATCATGGGAACCTTATAGGCAGGGACAGTAATAGTTTTAGGCAACTCAGTGCTATATTTTTCATACTCTTCCTTTGCTTTGTCATATGATGTAGCGAGTATGGCAGCAGCCTTATCCTTGCCATTCATCATTTTCTTGTGCAGTGTCTTGAAATTGGTGTTAAACGCATTGATGACTGGATCCATATTGATGTTAATGGCGATCAACTCATGGTTCTTAGTGTACTTCAGCTTGGAGCTCATATCAAATGTTTGCTGTGTTGTGATTAGTAGATTGCCCAGACCAGTGTCTTCCCACAGTGAGTAGTCCTCCACTTTTGTTGTCTTCATGTCAACAAATGGCAAGGTAATTTCAGGAATGGTGATAGGCTGCTTCAATACATCAAGATTGGCATCTCCTTTGATTTGGGAATACAGGTTAATTTCTGTTTCTCTGTTGTCCACAGCAAAGTAATGGGAGTATTTGTACTGGTTGAATCTAGCCAGACCTGTCCAACTAGCCTGCTGCACTTCGGTGTTCACGGTGAAAGCAATGTCATTCTGGAGATCTATCTTTCCAGACAGCTTTAATGGAAGGGCAATTTTGGTATTTGCTGTGTTCTTGGTATCAAGCTTAAGCTCATTAGGTGTGACCAGAGCAAGGGCTGAGTTTGAGAGAGTTCCTTCAACCTGACCAACCAGCTGTGCACTGTGAGAGGCAGAGAAATCAATTTTCATGTCTTCAACCTTTGCCTCGAACTTGAGTTCTGCAACGCTGTTTTTAATGAAAGGTGTTTCAGTCTCAGCCTTGGCATCAACAACTACGTGGCTGAAAATGCATATTTCAGCACCAACATTCTGATTCATTTTCACAAACTTGCTGTCTGTTGTTCCAGTGAAACTCATTTTGGCTTTATGGAAATCCATGACCACTGACAAGTCGCTCTTGTGGCGTGCCTCATCTGAGAAGTCCCGAATTGCATATTTTTCTCTGGCCACATTGTTAAAGGTCAGTTGGATGGAGCCATCTTTAAGCAGGAAAACTACATTTTCTTTAATCTCCATTTCACTAAAGATGTTAAGGGCAGGCATGTTGATGCCATGTACGTACGTAGTGACTACGGTGGTTGAAATTCCATTTTCCATGTTGAAGACTGCATTGTTAACAAGGGTTGCAGAGTAGAGCTCAGTTTTTGCTGCTGCAATAGTATCAGCAGAAGCTTCAGCTGTCAGACCATAGAAGGTCATTTGACCCTTATGGTCAAGTTCAAAAGACGACTGATCAACCTTGATGAGCTCAGAGATGGACACATGACTCATCTTGGGCACAGATAAATGTGCACTGGCTTCCACAGTGAAGTCAAGGATTCGCAAAGTAGATGTAGTCTTTGAGATGAGGTTCATTTTGAACTCTGGTGTATCAGAAATTGTTGTGGTGTTCTCCAGGTCAGCAGTGGTTGTGAGTTTATAATGAGGTGAAATAACTCTGAACTCTCCATAAAGTTTTCCAAAACAGGGGATCTTGCTCATTTCTGCCACTTTCTCTTTCAGCTCCATAGTGAGGGTGTCATAATCAAAGGACCTTACTTTCTGGATCATTCTGATGAAATAGTCACTCATGTCATCAATTAGCTGTTTGAAGTCAAAGGCATATAGCTCATTCAACAGCTCCTGAACAGGTACCATTATGTTTTTCATCACAGGCTGAATGTCAATTGACCTGAGAGCATCAAATGCACGCTGAATCTTTTCTCTGACCTGATACTGCTTCATCATTTTAACAATCTCATCCATGAAGGCTCCAATCATTTTTTCAACTTCAAAGCTGGAGAGAATCTCTTCAATTTTGGTATAAATCACTTGGAACTTGTTCTCAATGTCATGTTTCTTCATCCAAACCATTATGGTGTCTTTGATAGATTTCAGTATGTTCATGACTTTTTCAGTTGGGAGCTTGGGTGTCAGGTTGGTGATGTAGTTTTCCATTGAGCTGATGAATTTTCTCAGGTCTTGGACAAACAGGTTGAAGTCAAAGTTGTTAATGGCCTCCTTTAGTTCTGCCACCTTGAGCTGGAACTTGGCACTGATCTCATACCTGTTGTTGATGTCTTTTAGCATCTCAATGCTGTTGTCCATCAGTACCATCACTGTGCTCTTCATCTTTTCAATGAATGCAGGCAGATGCTCAATAAATGGGATCTGGAGAGAGTGACTGTCACTGCTCTTGTCATATTTCACAAATCCAGAGATGGCATAATTTTGACTGGACTCACTGAAGAGGAGAGTGGAGACTGCTCCTGCCATTTCAACACCCATTCTTTCTGCATTGTTGTAGGCACTCATTTCCTGTTCAAAGGCGTGCTCATTTACTTTAGATGTCACCTTCAGCGCGACACTTTGCTCTTGGAGGTTCAGCATGCTGCTGAACTTGTTGTCCATATTTGTTGTAATGGTTGGTCTGCCTTCTAGTTCATGTGTGGTTGAAGCTCTGTACTCAAATGACTGTGTGAAAAACATGGGTTGTGCTCTCAGGAGGAATTTGCTGTATAATTCGCCACTCTGCTTTCCATACAGATTCACTGCACCATTTGAATTGAAAATGGAATCAATGTTCAGGGTGAAGGGTGCAGCCACAGTTGCAACTTTGCTGTCCAGATGAAGAGATGGGGAGTTGAAGTTAGCCACATTGTTGAACTTCATGGTCAGGCCAGCAACCTCGATATCAGTGGTATGCGTCATTTGAGTTCCCAGGAGTTTACCGTTGGTGTTATACTTTGCAGACAGGACCATGTCAATAAACTTGATTTCATAGGTGTGTCTGAGCTCTTCCTCTGAGAAAGCTCCCATCACTGTTCCAGTCAGCTCCAGGTTGTAGGGCTCTGCCTTGAACTGGGCATCATTCACGAAGCTAACCTCCATTATCTTCAGGTCATTTTTCACAATAACTGAGGCAGCAGAACGGCCCATGTTGACTGTGATGTCATGCTTGTAAGAGTTGCTGCTGTCAAGCAAGTTGTCAGTCTTGGACTGCAGGGTAAAAGATCTCAGTGTAAGAGACAGTGCATTTGTGTTTTCAGTCTTCATCTCCTTGAAAGATCCAACCATGTTGTTAGAGAGAGTCAAGCCATCTTCATTCACTCTGAAGTTCACTCTGTTCCTGCTGTTAATATCAAAGAGGTTAGCCTCAAAGTTGCTGTTAAAGTAGACTTCTGTGGTTGCAATCTTGCCTCTAATGGTGAGCTCTGCTTTGTTTTCTTTAATGCCTCCTTTTGTTGTGAGAGACATGGTGGCACTTGAAGTGTCAACTGTACCATGGAAAATATTCTCAAATGTGAATGGACTGTGCTGGGCGGTTGTTGTACAGCTGGTGGTCAGGCCATTGGTGTTCAGGGAAAAGGCGGCCTTGTGAGAGGCGATGCTTGAAAAGATGTTCATGGAGGCCTCAGTGTTGACCTCCATGCCAGAGGGATTAAGGGAACCGGTAAGCAGTGAGTAGATACGGTTGCTTGTATCATCAGCTAGATTCTCTATTCTGAGACTGGCCTGTCCTCTAGAGGCAGCAAAATCTATCTGGCTCCGAAGCATCCTCTCGTTAGCCTGTGTCTGAGAGCTGGACTGGATGGTAAACTTGAGATCCTTGTACCTAAGGTTAATTTTGGTGTTGTGCACAATGGGGTCGCTGTTCACTTTAGTGTTAGAGTCAAACAGAAGCTCTTCCTCTGCATATGATGCCTTCATCTTGTTTTCAAGCTTCAGGTCTTCAGACTTCACATTCAGTGAACTCTGCATTATTGCTTCTTTCTTCGCTGGGTCGACCGAGAAGGTGTAGAGATAGGTGGTGGAAGCGGTCATGGGTCCAACAGTGACACTTCCATTTGTGTTAACATTTCCAAAAAACTTTTTAGAGTCAAGGGTCATCTGGGTAGTAATAGTCAGGGAGGTGTCCAGACCCACAGGGGCAACAGCATGCACGTTGTAGCGGCCAGTTGACATCAAACTGTCTGTGACTGCAATGGTTTCCTGAACATTAAAACCTGTGGTGATCAGCATGTGTTTCAGGGAACCATCAAGAGTGAATTCCATAGTTTCCACTTCTGTGTCAGTGATTTTGGTTGCTCCTTTAGAACAGACAAATAAAAAAAATTAACAATTCGTATCAGCGTCTATGTTTTTTCTGCACTGTTCAATAACAAATGTATAGTTTATAAGAATAAAGAATAAAGAATTACCCTCAGCTGAAAATGAGAGGAATTTGATCGGACTGTCAGCCACAATGTTGAATTTGGCCACATAGTTAGGAGACTCTGCAGTGTTGTTACCAGCAGACGCTGTTGCCTCCCACTTATAATAGTTGGTGTCGACCTTGGCAGCCATTTCCACCATGCCCATCAGAGGCAGGGTGAGATCATAGTCAGATGGGATGTTAAAAGTTGGGATTTGGATTCCTCGTGAGGCAAAATCTATGCCCAACTTCAGCATGGAAATGTGTGGAGTGGTGACCATTTGAGGTATCCTCAGCTCCTCAGATGATTTGCCCCCAAAAGGAACTGGGATGGTGATAGTCAGACGGTCCTGGTTGAACTGGTATATCAGTGTGCTTTCACTGTTGAAATGGTGAGAGTAGGGAACTCGTTAAAATGTTGTATTTATTCAGTATAAGGTTTGAAAGGTTTTTTTTATTATAATAACAATTATGAAGATACTAGTTAATGTTTTTGCTTCACTTACAGGTTCATGAACAGGTTTTCAGGCACAGATGGCATTTCCATCATAGCTAAGCTGTTCCTCAGTCTCGCCATGTAGGGACAATCAGCTGAGACTTTGTCCATCCAGATATTGCTGGCCTGATTAAAACACATCATATTTCTTATGATTCAGTCTGGACAAACTAAAAACTACGAAATAAACATTCAGTTAGTATAAAATTCTTTTTACCTCAATTCCTTTGTTGAGGATGTGTCGTAGTTTCATATCAGTCTCGATAACCCGCTGGTCCATAACATCCTCTGCAATCTTCCTCAGCCAGGCCTGGACGACCTTAGTGTAATGCACTGGGACTTTTGTTTCAGCATTCATGTTGGACATCAGCTGAACCTCAGCCTGCTCTTCGCCTGTGACAGTAAAAAGACAGTGTTTTAAACTGTGCCTGACATGACCATTCTTTGAGCTCCATTGCCACTCTTCTTGAGCAAAATTACCATATTTGAAGGTGACTGCCTGAATGGAGGAGATCTCTGGGAGCTTGACATCACTTCTGATCTCCATGGTGAGTCCGTCGGCTTTGCTCATGGTAGCAGTGACTGTGGCATCTGTCCTGAGTGAGGGGACTAACAGCTGAAGCTGCAGCATGCCATCAATCATAGCCTGAAGCCTATAATTAATAATAAAAAAGCAGTTAATTTCTGCAATGAGGTCAGTGGAATTATAGTAAAGTAACGGAACAGTTTAGGAAAATATTTTGCTGGGTTTACTCACTTGGCACGGCCAGTCAGAGTGAGTTGAGGCACGTTCTTGTTGGAGATCTCGAGGGTAATAGATTTGCCTCTGGCATTGCTATCTGTCATGCCGAGCTTGACGCCCGCCTCAACATCAAAGTCAGGTATGTTGATCTGAGTGCTGAAGACATTTCTGTTCCTGTTGTATGTCATGGTGACTGTAGCCTCAGTAGGCTGAGCACCTGACGTCACAGAGTCAGAAAAAGGTTAATCACTTATCTGTATAACTCAAAAAAAGAAAAAGAAAAGAAAGAGGCAGCACATGTAATAAAATTCTTGATTAAAAAAAAGCAATATTCATACCTTCGGCTCTCAGGGTCATCTTCACAGAATTAACCTTGTGGCGTCCGTCCTTTTCTTCGCCATAGGTGATACTGGCTGTGTACTCAGAGACCTCTTTAGTAGGCTCGATGTCCAGAGCAAACCTTGGGTAAAAATAAAGTCTTTAGTACATTTTTATTTCTTTTAATGCAATTTGGTACTGTGCAGCAATAAAATCTATAATCTCATGTGCATATATCCACCATCTGAGATGAGCTAAAATCTTTTCATCTTGACCTATTCTTGACCTATTCTTATCTGTATTTAACCATCTTCTTTTCAACTGTACCACAATATACTAAACAATATTCAGCATTAAATGGAAATATGTTACATGATCATATTTAAGGCATTTCCATTTCTTATTTAACAAAGAAACAAAGCAAAACCTGACTTTTTAAAGAACATCTTACTCAGTCTCTCCGTTCAGGGGGAAGTAAGGAGCAGCCGTCTTGCCAGGAGCGTCACCATGAAGTGTTTTTGTGCAGTATTTGACTCCAGAGAAGAGAGGGCTGCAGCTGGAGTCGGCTAGTCTGTGTGGGATCACTGTAGCGTGTCCAGCACCCACAATCATAACTTTGTTGCTATTTCAAACAAAGAACAGCAAAATTACTTTACAACTTCTAACAACATTATTAAGCATACATAATATATGAAATGCAATACGCTCCCTGTTGGTAGTGTTCTTTATAATTATTCAATCAATATCACTTAATATCATTTACTTGTATTACACAAAGTAAGTTATCAGATTTTTTTTTTTTTTACCTGATTCTTAAGAATTTCATGGTGCCCTGTGGAGCAGGGATGGAAAGTTTGACCTGGTTTTGCTCCATGGTGATCTTGGCATTGAAAGAGCTCTCATGGTACATGTTGGTGTGCATCTCAACTGAAGAGACAACAAATTCAGGCACATGGATTCCCATCTGAGTCATGAACTCAATCCCAATTGCGGGCATGAACACCAGCTCCTGGAAACAAAGGGGATCACAGAAAAATTGAAGTGTGTGGGGAAAGATGACCAACAGTCAGGATTAATATGACTGAGAATTCTACGTACATGTCACAGAAACAAACAATTAAAACAGCAACATTGTAATAACAATTGCTGTTTTAGTATGGTGCTAAACACAGGTTAAATACAGTAGATGGAAACCTTACCATGTTTGGAGTCATGCGAAGACCTCCTTTTGCACCAGGAGCAAAGGTGCCAGACAGAGCAAATGTCAGAGGCAAGCCAGATGCTGTTGACATCATGAATTTGTTGTCCATGAAGATGTAATGGGCAAAAATCTCATTGCGAGTGCTTGAAATCAGGTTAGACATGACCTGACAGGGAGAAATACAGTTAACAAATAGAGTTTTTCAGCTGCAAAGAAAAAATAAATCTATATAGACACTATATTAATGACTGCAGAACACTACCTTTGTAGGTACTATCCTCATGAAAATGTTTGCATACATCATTGCATTTTCAGCAATAGACTTCAGTTCATTGGTCTTGATGTAGCCAAGCTCAGCTCCCATTAGCCTCAGGTAGGCCATGGCCTCTGGGGACTCTCGGTTCTGCAGGTCTTTTACCAGCTTGTTGAGGTTGCGGACAATTTCTGTTGCAAGGTTTTCAGGAGCCTTAAGAAAAAGGGACCAATATGTTAGATATGTTGGTGTGAGTGACAATGATACGTTCACTAAGAATAAGAGTGTTTAACAGAAACAGTTATGCGAGTGATATACCTTTTGCCCCTCTATTTTCAGTGGAGCAACCCATTTCTCCAGAACTTCCTTGATCTTTGGTGACATCTGTTCTTCAGCCCAGTACAGAGCCTTGGACACTGTGTCAGGGAAGAATCCATTCTTGCCAAACAGAGCCTCAATGGTTGGCTCAAAGCCTTTTCCTTCCATGCCAACCTGCCAAAAAGAATTTAATAATATGAATACAAAAATGAACCAAGAGTTGTTGGGGTTAGGTCCCATCAAATAAAATGAATCCCCATGAATAAAGTTCAGCGTTAAAGGTGTAAAAATGGCATAAATAATTGTGCGTGAGAAGCACTGTACATACCTCCCAAATATCCATGCTGTAACCAAAAGCATTCAGGGTAGTTTCCAGCAAGACTTCTCTTGGCAACGTGCTGCTGGGATCGAAAATGACATTGCCTTGAATTTTGGCCGCCATGCTCTCATGTGCCATTCCCAGCTCATAGTTGCGAGATTTTGTGGTGTAGTCGCTGTGTGTAGAAACTTCTGTGTCCTGCAGGGCATCCATTATTTTCTCCCCAAGCCTGGAGTGAAGATTAAAAGTAAAACTATTAGCTGAGTGTAAATAGATGGGTGCCCAAATCGGCGCTATATTAGTATAGAACAACACATTAAGCTGAAAAATGCTTCATTCTTACTTTTTGGTCTCTGAATCAGTTGAGGAAATGATGTTGTAGATGTGGGAGGACACAAAAGCCCTGATCTGCTCGTTCTGCTCTTGGTTAAGCAGCTTCTTCACCACCTCAATGTCGCTGTCCTCGGGGTTTCTCATCAGTATCAGATAAGCTGCCAGACGTTTCTGCACAGCGCCCTTGGGATACTGGCTGACCCTCTGGAGGTTGGCACGAATCTGGACAGGAAAACAATTTGAAAAAACAGTGACTTAATGGTCTTTGTAGCTGCAGTTTGTCTCCACTATAAAACCGGGAAGCAAGGAGACTGCTCATGTAGAAGAGGAATGTGGTTAGTTACCTCATCTGTCACAGACATGCGCCTGAAAGCCTGGATGGCGGCCAGCTGCACGGACAAAGTGGTTGCGGGCTGTCTCATGCACTTGAGCAGGGTGGTCTTAATAGCAGGATCGGTGGCCTCCATTGCATCTCCCATGTTGCCAACAACCTGGACAGAATATTAAAGCAAATCATAAATCATGCAATTAAATGTTCCCTTTAAAACTTTTTTATCTTTGTCCTCAGGAAATGTGGGATCAGTGTTTTTTCCCCTCTGTATTGTCTTGATATAATAAAGTTTCTTGAATGAAAATGTAGTCTTATTCACGTCTTGTTACCTACCCTTAAAGTCAGGAAAGTCAGGTCTTTGTCACCAGCGCAGTCTGCACCCAGAAGAGAAGCAATATAGTTGTAGACAGCTGTGATCTCTGGAGTGACTCCCTCAGATTTATACAGTCTAGAGGAAAAGACAGACATTAGGGATTATGTATTAATTTACAACAGGTACCACAATTCAGTGTTACTGCATCGAGGAGAGCGTCCTTCAGAATGTCATATATTTATGTTCACTTACTTCCTGGCTGCATTGCTCAAAGCATACATGATGGGTTTGCTCTGCTTGTACTGAGCCATTGCCAGCAAGTCTTTCACCATCTGCTGTGAAGGGTTGGGCAGCAGCCCCAGGGCGTAGACAACAGCATCAACCTCAACAGCATCTTCATCAAAGGTCCTGAGAAGCTTGAGCATGGCGCTAGTGCATTCTGGTGTACCACACTGAGCCAGAGCTTGCCACGTCAGAGAGGGTGAAATGTCTGTCATCTCAACAATAGCCGAGTTCAGGGTGTCCCCCTTCAGGCCACGAAACTCTGACACCAGCTGGCGGAAAAGGCCGGCGCGCTTCTCGCCCTCGTTGGTCTCTGACAGAGAGTTCAGCTTCTGCATCGTGGCAGCGACAGCATCCATGGTTTGCACTGGGGATTTGTCGTCAACAACATCCATGGGCAAGTACCTGACATTGTCCTCATCTGTACAGAAATAAATCACAAGCAGTGGAAAATCTATTAGAATCTGGATGTTAGAGACACACGTAAAATATTTATATTGTTTTTTCCCCCCTATTTTTTACAAAATTTGTTTTCACACAACAGAAGCACTCACTGTGATCAAAGATTCTGTCATTGATCTTGGCAGTCGCTCTCAGAGTCACAGTCTGCTTCACCATAGCAGAAATTCCATATTGGTTTCTTTTTTCAGAAGAGAGAAATCCCCAAATGTGCGTTAGATTTCAAAGAGAATTCACAAAATTATTCATGAAAAATATACAAAAAGTCAAAATAAAACTTACTCATGGGACAAGGGCAGGAAGATGTGTTTCTCTGTGCAGGTTCCACTGGTCATGTGTTTCTTCTGGTTGTCAAACCTGTAGTTACAGCTCTGAGTGCTCCTGATCAGCTTGGACAGGCCGTATTTCTGACAGGCAATAAATAAATAAATAAATAAATAAATAAAAATTAATGTTTTGTCAGATGTTTGGAGAATGTAGAATGCTGGGAAATGTAGATGTACTTTGTGGCTTGACGTTGGAAGAAAAAAGGGATGGATGTTTGCTTTGTGGTTTTATACTATGGAAATATAGCTTGGGTTCATTTAATAACGTAATCAGACCATATTTTTTTCCTGATGATTGAGTGCTGATATTTTGACTCTTGGCCTGAGTTTGTGATAGCAGTGTCAGATTTTTGTTGACCTCTTACCATCCCAGAGACGAGAGCCAGGGGACTGGTGTCCTGTCTGCGGGCAGTGAACCAGTCACATCTGGACAGATCCCTGCTGACTGTCACATCAGTAGCAATGTCCTGTTTGTCGTTGACGGTGAAGTCGGTGGAGCACACTCCGTGCACGGTGGGCTGGAAATGATTAGGATGTTCAAAACAATTCAATATTCAAGCTGTAAGAACTGGACCTATGGACGTGCATTCCTTCCTTTAACTTATCTCTTAAATCAGGTAATCAATCATTCTTAAAGATTACCTCCATTATGAGAGCAGCGCATGTCAATAACAAGATAAAGTTATCTAGGACTTTGACCTGTTGCTGAAAATTGTCATTGTTGGAACATGCTGTTACAACAGTGTATTTATCTCCTTTGACTGGGCCAGCTTATCTGCACCTTGTGCAACTTATCTATGCATGACTAAACAACAAACTGAATCAGGCTCTACTTGGCGTGATTTAATTGCCAACTATGAAGCTATGAAAATTTTCCCAAAAAAGAAAAAATCAAGTAATAAACAAGTGAGGGGAGCTACCATTTCATTGTTCTTCTCCTCTTCCATCACAGGCACCATGAGAGCTGAGACAATTCCTCTCTTGATGTTGAGGATGTTGACGGGCTCATTGTCCTCAGGGTACAGCCTGACATCTGTCTGTCCTTCAACTGTGATCTTTAGAGTGTTTCTGTTGACGTGGACAGATCATCATTTACAGCCTGCCATTCAGGTCACTCTTTGATTTCCTCAGTTACCCTGGATCCTAATTTCTGAGAGCAATTAACAAAATACATAAATCTTTCCTACAAACAAGATGACTCACTTCTCCATGGCAGCTTTGAAAGCCTCAGCTCCAGCAGCAGGACGATACAGTGGATTCCCCTCATCGTCAACGCCAACAACCTCGCTCAGAGAGCAGTCTGTTGTGCGGAGGATGAAGCTACAGGTCTGGGGCACATCAACCTCAACCTGTGCAGCAGAATAAACAGTTTGTTTGGACTTCTTGTTTTACATTCAGGGTCATGAGATTGCTGTTATTTTTCCTCAGCAATGATCTAAGCTCGAAGACTTACTGTGCAGGAGACTTTGGGGCCGCTTTTATTGTCTGTAGCTCCATTCACAGTGTTAAAGGTCTCAGCTTCGTAGTCATACACAAATCTTCTGAAGTGCCTGTATCTTTTGGCCACTGAAAAGTATTTAAAGCATTTACAGCAATAGTTAGAACAAAAAATATTTCAAGCTTCCCATTTTGATTTTCCCGTTTTATAATATTAAATTACACATTGTAAAATATTTACTTTTAAACAATGACAACAAAGACACTCACAAAAGCAGGCTGGAGATGGTTCCTCAACACTTCCAACATCTTGCTCTGAAAAACAAAACCCCCCCAAACAAACGCACAAGCTGCCATTACAGTGCAACAACACAATTGCAAATGATTGAATACAGTAATTATGCCACATTTGGCCGCTCTCTTATTCCAAGCGTGAGTCTCTGCGCATTTGATTTGGCAGATTTTATGCCAAATACGCTGTCTTATGCAAGCCCTAAGGAATTTGAGTCTCCAACCCGAGGGGAAACCGGGGATTTTTGTTTGGGAAATGTTTAAGCTACACGTTAAATACAGTAATAAATACTACTAATAAAAAAACATAGTAATTTTATTTGTCAATGCCTTGCAAAACACTTAACACAAACTAACAATATTTACTGTAAATTTTTACATGTCGAAGTCTAATTAAATAGCTACACATTTGTTTTGCTCTATTTTAAAAACGTAAGAGACATAAACAGTATCAAATATCATCGTCTCAAATTTGTAAAATATGTGTTCCATTTCAGAGCAAGTTGCCAACTTTTCACAAAGCTAAAAAAAAGCATTCGTTACATATTTTTAAACAAACAGATTTAATTCACATACAGGTCTAAGTTTTAAAAATCCACTGCCTTTAAATGGAAAAAAATATTGTACTCACGGGCTAGTGTGCATGTGCCCAGAAACAGCACAAGGCAGAGCTTGTAACCCAACATCATGGGTTGAGCTCCTGGAAGCCTTAAGGTAAGAAGAGTCCCCCTCTTTCTCTGAAGACTAATTCTTGTGCTTTCGCCTTTTGGCTTTTATAGCTTTCAAGACATACTGTATGTGATTGCAGGGACTTGCAAATGTGTTGCCCTGGTTCCAAAGTCTGAGCAGTCCTTGTGGCAGGTCAAAGGTAAAAAGACTGTCTGTCAGCATTGGGTGGGGGTGGCCAGTGATTATTCTAAATGACTGTTGTTTTATTATTTCTGGTTTGAGATCATCCTGAGGTCATTAATATAGAATGCTAATGCTAATGCTTATTGTTAAAAAAACAAAACCCCCCCCCCCCCCCCCCCCCCTGACAATTTGTATCTAGCAGATAATTTATTATTTAGTGCTGTACTACTTTATGTGTTAGTAAGTAATATAGTGCAGTACAACATAGATTTTGTGGTACTAGGATAATACTAATGTTTATGTGTTATCATATATCATTCTATTTTATTACAACATTAATATACTCTTGCTAGCTAACATTTTTAATAACCATCATCAGTGTTGTGTAAGTTCTAATCCTCATGGATCAATAACTTTGTTTGTATGTTGCATTCAAAGCTCAGGTCACAAAAACATTTGGTAGTATCAGGATTTTGTTGACTTTCATTTCAACGCTGTGTGCCATTATTCTAAGAGGCAATCAGTTCAAACCGAGAAAGGTTTCAGTTTTGATTTTACAGAATTTCCTTTGGGATTAATAAAGTGTTTCTGAGTATTATTTCTTTGTTTCAAACTTATGACTGCATGAACGTTCATACGATTCAAAATATAGCTTATAACACAATTGTGGCACTATGATGTACTGCAAGTATGCGAACGCCTTCACATACGCTCACCTTTGCCTCATAGATGACTCAAGCAGGTGAACCTATATCGCCTGCTGCTAGTGTGCTCCTGCTTAAAGTTTGTTATCAGCATATATTAAAGCACGTCTCAAAGCACTAGGTGCTTTATGACATGCACATGGTAGATAGGACTCTAATGGGCCTAACCAGTCATCAGAAGTGCAGTGCATCTGCAGGGATCTCTAGGGTGGCACTTGGACATCCAGGGAAAAAATACATAGTGAAAGTGATTATAATGAGTAATTTCACTTATAGAATAAAATTAAAATGAAACCTTGAAATACCTGAATGGAAAACTCAAACCATATCTTCCTGAACAGGAAATATTCAGCCCAACTCCAATAGTTATGTCTTGCATTTGGGTGTAACATCATTTTAGGATCCACCCTAGACTCTTGTAGTCTTGTAATAGCCGTAAACCTCAACCGTGGCTTTTTAAACTGTTTATTCACAAAATAAGAAGAGTTTAGTTTTAGTTAATTCCACTTTGACTGAAATGACTTATACTGCAATGTGCACTATGCAATATAATTATTATAATATGACAAATGGCCTGAAGTAGTAAAGTGCAGAAGCTGCTAAATGAATGATAACCAGTGCCTCTCAGATCGCTAAAGGTTCAGTAATCCATAAACCTGCCCTTTGATTTCTCATTTGCTGTGGTGCATTCGGAATAACAGGGTGAAAGATGTAACTATGGCAAGGTTTCATAGCTTCCTGTAGGCCAGAGCCCCCTGGAGCTTTAGTCACTCCCAGTGGGAACCAGACTGGATGCAAATAAATCTCAGCAGTGGTGTCTCAGTATTTATGGCTAACCTTTCACCTCCTAAGAAAAGCCTGTGAAATCTTCTAGATAAGGCTCACAGGAGAAATGAACCCAAGATAAGTCGATCAGACACAAGAAGACTAGCTGATGTTGCACAAGAGTAACATCAGCACTGTGCAAATGGGTTACAGTACAGTATGTAGACTATATGGACTATGTGGACTTATGGGAATATAGGAGAAAATGGTGAATTTTTGGGACTAATACTAAAAACGCTATTTAAGCCCTTTCACTGACACCTCCTGTTAACATGTCTGTTTCTTTTGCCTCTGCTATTAATGATTCCATTTTAATGTCAGAGGAAAAGGAGAAACCTTTATAATAACAAAAATTGTAAAATCTTTTTTTTTACCAGTCTATCTTTGGACTAAAGTCAAGTTACCACACAGCAGATCATCTAATTTAGCAACAGGCCAGTTGCAGTGAACAAGATGATATGAGGTGACCAATCATTAGTTAGTTTAATGGAAAAAATGTGGGCTATTTAAAAGAGTAATATGAAATATGCATTGAACCTTTTTACTTGGCTTTTTTATGTACTTTAATCACTCGCAGTATCATGGTTAAATATTTGATCAGGAAAAGAAATATGAAGTCGGACTCGTTCGTGGGTGATGGGCTCCGCCAGGGCTGCCCTTTGTCTCCAGTTCTGTTCATAATTTTTATGGACAGGATTTCTAGGCGCAGCCAAGTGGCGGAGGGCTTTCGCTTTGGTGGCCTCAGAATCTCATCTCTGATTTTTGCGGATGATGTGGTTCTGTTGGCTTCATCGGGTGAGGGCCTCCAGCTCGCACTGGAACGGTTCGCAGCCGAGTGTGAAGCAGCGGGAATGAGGATCAGCACCTCCAAATCTGAGGCCATGGTTCTCAGCCGGAAAAGGGTGGAGTGCCCACTTCGGGTCGGGGATGAGTTCCTGCCCCAAGTGGAGGAGATCAAGTATCTTGGGGTCTTGTTCCCGAGTGATGGGAGAAGGGAGCCGGAGATCGACAGACGGATTGGGGCTGCAGCTGCAGTAATGCAGACGCTGCACCGGTCCGTCGTGGTGAAGAGGGAGCTGAGTGTAAAAGCGAAGCTCTCAATTTACCGGTCGATCTACGTCCCTACCCTCACCTATGGCCACGAGCTGTGGGTAGTGACCGAAAGAACGAGATCGCGGATACAAGCGGCAGAAATGAGCTTCCTCCGAAGGGTGGCTGGCCTCTCCCTTAGAGATAGGGTGAGAAGTTCGGCCATCCGGGAGGGGCTCAGAGCAGCTGCTGCTCCACATCGAAAGGAGCCAGCTGAGGTGGTTCGGGCATCTGACAAGGATGCCCCCTGGGCGCCTCCTGGGTGAGGTGTTCCAGGCATGTCCCACTGGGAGGAGGCCCCGGGGCAGACCCAGGACACGGTGGAGAGATTATATCTCTCGGCTGGCGTTTGAACCAGATGTTTAGTGGACGAAAGAGGGAAATGGCAGTGCTGGACATTTAGTTAATAGGTATAAAGTAATAATACTAAAAACCACAAAGCAGTAAACAAACATGGGAGATATATGTATATAAGTCATTAAAAATTAACACATATGATTTAAGAATGAGATCATGGCGTGAATGATATCTGTACTCTTACAGTTTTTAGTTGGCAGGAGACACTTCATTGCTTTAGAGCCACTCAGAAAAATCCCCTCTGATACTGTAGTGATAGTATGTTGTTGATCCGGCATGAGTCATAATGACATAACTGAAATACAGAGAAGAGTCAAAGCAGATAGAAATATCTTGCATTTTCTGTCAAATGTAACACAATAACTAAAGATTTACTGTCTTTAACCTTAATCCTGATATATTTTCATGATAAATATTAAAATTAATAAAATATACTATAATTTCTCCACAAGTTGGGTTGTTGTGTACATAAAAACAGAATTCAGTGATATTAAAATACCATAAACCACACATTTTATCCACAATTGAACACAGACGACATATGAAACGTTTGACTTAGAAATAGTACCATTTAAGAAAAATATGAGCTCAGTTTGAATTTGATGGACAACACATCAGGAACATAACTTAGTATAAAAGATTATGAGCCAATACACAACTAAGAGCAGGAAACCGAGGCTACAGCTCACGTGCGCTAACCAAAATTGGAAAGATTGGAATAATCATCCTGCTTTGTATGAAGTGTTCAGGTGGTGGGCCCCTTCACACCAGCTGAGGATTGTTTGCCTACCACAGGCTACTAGAGTATTGACAATGAGTTTGCATTCAATCTCAATCCAGTAGAGCATCGTGGGATGGTAGAATGGTCCAACATGGTTGTGCAACTAACAATTCTGCGGCAACTGTGTAATGTTATCATGTCAACATGGAGCAAAACTTTAGAGGAAGGTTTTCAGCAGTTTGTTGCATCTATGCCAGAAAGAATTAGGGTAGTTCTAAAGGTAAACAGGGGTCCTAGCAAAGTGTAATCACAAATTGTCAGGTAAGAGTATACCACCCTCAAATGTGCCTACTCATTAACCTTTTAGAATGACAGTAAAACAACATGTTGCAGTTTTACACTCAAATTAACCTCGTCCCTGTGCTTTATTTTCATGCTAGTCATTCTGCCTTAAAATAACTTACAAATGTTTTTGGGTTTTTTTGCATAACAAGATGAATATTGTACTCATCATTGTGAACTGGAAAAGTCAGACAATTCTCTGAAGCAACAAGAAAAGAACTACGTTTCAAAATCCTTGGATTAAAAACTAATGCAGAGACCAAATAAGACTCAGATCTCAGGTTTCTTTAATTCTTAACTTCCTTTCGAAGCTTTATGCCTTGTAGACTGAATGCATTTTATAGGATTTAAAACAGATGAAAGTTTCATCACACTGGCTCATGTATCACTGCCTCAAAGGCACAATAAATCAACCTAATTACTCAGGTTTAAAGCGTACTGTCTGAGAATGGAATGATTTTTGGCATGATCCTTGCTTTAAAATGTTTTAAAAGTTATTTTAAGTACGTTTAAATAAATCTAATCATGACTCTAGCAATGAAGCTGAAACGACCAATGCATCTCTTAGTACTGGACATCATTAGTACTGGGCCTATAGCTTACCACACTTATGTCAGAGTTTAAAATCAACAGAGTAGCAGATAAACCAGCTTTAGGAAGAAATCTTTACAATTGCTTTGACTTGGTCTGAACTACCATACCATACCAGCTTTATTTATAAAAAACCAGGGTTCACAAAGTGCTGTACATATACAAATAGCATAAGCAAAGTAAAATAAAAAAAATAAAAAAAAATAAGATAAAGCAAAATAAATAACTAAATAAATGAAATAAAATAAAACATGTTAAAACAAACTGAGTCAACCCCCTTGAACAGTGCCAAAGGCTTCATCGAATAAATACGTTTTAAGAAGAGTCTTAAACTCGGAAAGAGAAGAGGCCTGCC